GATGGCCGTGGGTCGTGTTCGGCACCTGATCCGGAGTTCACGAACAGAAGCAAAATTTTGCGAACACTGCTATTCGCGAACCAAATTGTTCGTGAACAGAAGCGTTTGTATTCAGCTTGGTAAAGTCTCCCCCCAACTCAGCAGGGCTTACTTCTAAATAGGCATACATACATCCCACTTAATATACTGTGTGTCATTTTCCAATCTATTTCCCTCCAGTAAAACAGGTATCAGCAGAAAGATATTATTGCAAAAACCCTACCATCTCATATTGTCATGCTTGCTTTTTTAAAAAAAATTACATAAACTACTTAATACAAAGACAAACATTTCACCATCAGGTCTCCGCCTCTGTGTAGTTTGCAACCCTCTGATTGCCAACGGAAACTGTAGCATAAAACAGTAACTAAAATACAACTGTCTCAGAATCTAACTGTTGTAACTTTCTTCTTCCTTGGATACTGAACAGGATATTCTGTGCTTCTTAGCCCATTACATGATGCCCTCAATACATCTTTCTTCATATTTCATTCACGTTTCCCTTTGATGGCCAAGCAAACCCTTATTTTAATCTGATATAAAACCTGTATCTTTTTGCTTAGTCTTGTAAATGCAAGTAGTTACCACATGTCATGAGCTTTCCTTTTCCTGGGAACATTGTAAAAACATTTTTTTCCTACCTGTTCTTTGCAGCTAAAACTAGCTATCTAATAAGATTACCTTACTTTTATCTTGACTTTTTGCAAATTTCTCTATATATTCTAGAATGTAAGTATTATAACTTTCTGCCTCATTATGCCATTCTCTTATGTGATTATTCCCTTGCCTTCTCCCTTTCTCCGCTAAAGATTTACAGCTAAACCTAGAAGAGTCTACACAGTTCTGTTTACATTTTCATACTGACTTTACTTAAGTTTCTAATGCTCATTCCACCTTCTTTCCCAATCTTTAGCCTGTTAAGAGTCTAGCCCCACTTAATAGCTTATTCTCAATTCCAATGCCTGGTTTCAGCTCCCATGGCAGTTGAAATTACATAAAGATTAAGAGATACAAAACTAAGTCGAATAAGGCATTCCAGACCTTTAGCTATCTCATGAACTAGTGAACAGAAAATGTGGGGAGAAAATAAGTTATTGGAAGTGTTCAGAAAAGCTATGGAGATTCCTAAATGGAAAGAATAATGTATTTGGGCATTTGAGGCTATGGTTTACATATGCAGCACTACTGGCCTTCTAAAGCAATAAGAATTGCCCTCTAATTAAGACCATGAAACTAATTGTAGCAGCTTCATATGATGCAAAGCATATCAAGATAAGTGGGGACTTAAGCAATAATCATCACTCACCAAGTCTTGAAGCCTTGGTGCAACAATGTGAATTTCTTGTTAAACAAGATTGACTACTTAATTCAATTACTAATTTTTCTAGATGAAAAAACTGAAGAAACCCTGTATGACAAATTAAATTCTTCCTGTCCCCCAACACTTGATGTTGTATAATTTTAAGGTACTGATATAAAGCATTTGTCCAGATAGATGGCAGGACCAACCAAAACTAATTTCAAAAATCTAAGTGAAGTCAGACCTATTTAGTATTTGTATTTATTTATTTAGTATAGCCACCAGAAATTCCAAGGAACATAAACTAGACTAGGAAGCCAAAAGACATCATGGAAGAAAGCAAGGCAAACCACTCCATACTGTTGCCAAGAAAACTAGTCTTTGATACAACTGAAAGTTGTTACAACCCAAAATGTTCCTTTAAAATTCCATCTCAATACAGTTACAAACTACAGATGTAGGCCTTTAACATAATGGCCTATTTTTTCTACCTCTACCCCTGACTTATTTTGTTTAACATCCAGCTTAAAAAGATTTCTAGAATCCTGAAAGCTTGCTTATAACCTTGTGAAACTCTGGTCCTATTAAAAGTTCTAGCCTAATGTACTTCAGATTTGGCGAGGGGGGGGTTGCTGTAATTTCTTCGTTAAAATATGTTACTCTTTTGTTGACACATATTTAAGATAAATATTGTCCCACAAATGGTTGAGCTATAATGACATATAATTTCCCACTGCACACACCAGCATAACTAAGCAATACAGGCTAGAATAATTGTAAAGCATTGGCTGATTTGACTTGCTTTGATTATCAAAGCTGGAAACATTACCATGTATCTTAGTCTTACTCTGTCAACATGTAAGAGACATACTCAGATATTTTAAACAATGGGTTGCACTAACATTTATCCAGAATTAATAATAGTGTTTTTATCTGAAAAGTAATAAAAGCACATTAACAATAAACTGAAGTGTGGGATGAATAGAACTTGCACTCTTATTAACCATTTCTAATACCTTCCATTCTCCAACTAATCTCCAAAATCACAAGTAATCACAGTTCTCATCATGACTTCAACTTTCATTATATTCTCTCTACAACCTGTTTGTTCTGCATTCCACATTCCAAACAATCTCCTTTCTCCATCCCAGCAAATAAAAATTAAATAAATAAATAGAATAAAGATATCTGTAAGTGGTTTATTTCATTGGGTCATCAAGGATAAGTTCAACTTCTTATTCCAACAGTGTCCTTAAGGATGCAGTTTTATTTACCCATCCAACATGATTAGGAAGGCACCTTAACAATATAAACAAGCAAAATTAACAATAAGATGTTAGCAATTTAAGCAATAAAATCACAACAGCAACAATAATCACATGGGACAAAGTAATCACAGAATACTCCAAAAAAAAAAAAAAAACCCTCTCAAACATTAAATCGCAAATTTGCTGCTTAAAATGCAGCAAAGGGATCAAGCAGGTATTATTATTTTTATTAGATTTTCATCCCATCTCTTTCTTTCTTTCTTTTTCTTTCTTTCTTTCTTTTTCTTTTTTTCTTTCTTTCTTTCTTTCTTTCTTTCTCTTTCTTTCTTTCCTTTTCTTTCTTTCTCTCTCTCTCTCTTTTTCTTTCTCTCTCTCTCTCTCTCTCTCCATCCATCCATCCATCCATCCAGGGTAGCAAATACTCCTGCTTCCTACTTTCTCCACAACAAGCCTGTGAGATGAGTTGGGATGAGAGTGACTGGCCCAAAGTCACCAAGGGGCTTTCACGGGACTAGAACTGAGTCTCCTGGTTTCTAAGCCATCACCTTAACCACACCACCAAACTGGCTTTCTTAGTAGTTTACAGTATTTCAGACCCTACTGAAAAAGTATTGTTTGCACACATCAGGCAGCAAAGGTAAATATGAAATAGGACATCACTAAGTTGCAGTGAGGACTTTTTAGATGAGGACAGTCATACAGTATCCTAAACTTCAAAAAGTTTATAATTTTCAATGCCAAAAATAGTACTTTGAACTGGTTGCAGCATTCTGTACTTGTAATTTTTATTTTCTCCCCCAAACAACTCCATATACAGTACATTTTAGGGTAGTGTACTTGTATGTAACAACAGCAACCAGAACTTGAGACTGATAATTTAGATTAACTACCATTAATCCTTTTTGATGAAAAATTCTTAGTGCTCTTGATCGTAAGGGACTGGTTGGCTATTTTGTCCTTTCTTCCTTCATAGATAGATAGATAGATAGATAGATAGATAGATAGATAGGAAGGAAGGAAGGAAGGAAGG